TTTATTACCGAGTCAGCCATTCAATACTTTGTGTTGGCCTATTTTGTGACACATATATTATTAAGTTAAATTTTAAATAATTTTGATGTGATTCTAAAACAAGGATTTTGAAACATGAGATACATTTGATAAATTGCTGTGGTGTTGAGATATTTTGCAAGCCAATTTAATAACAATAATTTTTAAAGTTTTAAATAAAATTTATGAAAATGAGTATGACACAGAGTATCAAACATTGTCCAATGTTCCAATATAATGGAGCAAATGGGAAAAGTATGACAATTAGTTTTTCATTATATTTATATTGACAAAGCTAAATAATTATCTTCTGCCATCTATTCTATCTTGATTAAAACTATCGGTGAGTATAATTAAAATCAAATCTATTAGGATTTCTACAAATACATTTTATCCTATGTCTTATATTTCTTACTGGAATACATCTCCACAGACTGTGTTGTATTCCCACATCTATAATGCAAGAGTAAAATCTTGACCAGGCACGGTGGCTCATGCCTGTAATCCCAGCACATTGAGAGGCTGAGGCTGGTGGATCAAGAGGCCAAGAGATCTAGACCATCCTGGCCAACATAGTGAAACCCCATCTCTACTAAAAATACAAAAATTAGCTGGGTGTGGTGGTGCACACCTGTTATCCCAGTTACTCGGGATGCTGAGGCAGGAGAATCACTTGAACCTGGGAGGCAGAGTTTCAGTGAGCTTAGGTCATGCCACTGCACTCCAGCCTGGGGACTGAGCGAGACTCCATCTTAGAAAAAAAGAAGAAAAAAAAACAGCTCTAGGGTTCGGGTATGTGGCTCACACCTGTAATCCCAGCATTTTGGGAGGCGAAGGCAGGTGGATCACTTGAGGTCAGGAGTTTGAGACCAGCCTGCACAACATGGTGAAACACCATCTCTACTAAAAGTACAAAAATTATCCAAGGATGGTGGCACATGCCTGTAATCCCAGCTACTCAGGTGGCTGAGACATGAGAGTGGCTTGTACCTGGGAGATGGAGGTTACAGCGAGCCCAGATTGCACCAATGCACTGCAGCTTGCGTGACAGTGTGAGATTCTGTCTCAAAAGAATTGTAAGTAACACTGAGTTGGCATTCAGTTTTACCATTACCCTTCTCTGGTGTCTCCCAGTCTGTCTTCAAGGAGGCGTGAACTTGGAAGTGGACTTGGGTGCAAAAAGACAGGGCTCAGGACAGCCTTCCTGATCCAGCTGAGGAGCAGGAAACAGTCTCCTACCATGTAGAGAGAGTGCAAGAAACTCTTTTCTCTTTACTCCATTTTCTTGTGCCTCAGTCCTTTGTGGCCCACTGGCACCTCATTTCTGATAAGTAGAGCGGTGGCCTAAGCAGGTGGGCATACTCCATTGCTTTGTCACTCTTTCCGTCCTTTCCTTGCTTGACGCCGTGGTCACAGCAAGCAAGGTGTAGAGTGAAGTAAATAATCCCCTTGCTTGGGTGGCACTCTGAAAAGATGAGTTCCTAGGAGCTGGCAAGGACCAGGGAAATTATGGCATGTGAGGAGTTCAGGACGGGGAATTCGAAAAGTTGTTTTTGAGCTCCTGGGCTCATCTCTGTAATAGTTAATTCTTTCATTTTTAGTGGGCATGTGATAATTGTATATG